TCCCTGAGGCTGGTTCAGGTCCAGTTTGGGAGTCTTTGGTTTGACCTAATTAGATTTCTCTTGAGTCTTGTGAAGCCAGCTCCTCATGGAGAGCAGACGCTTCGCCTGACTTTGATGGGCATCCACCTCAGTAGTGACTGGACACCCTGTGCCCTGTTCGAGGGGCCCCGGGAACCTCTTTGCCCTGCAGGGAACATATGTGATACCTGATCTCCCTCATTTGAAAGTCAGTGTTTCTTTAGGAAATGCAGTATCCATACTTATTTATTTTTGAAGATTTAATTATTTGAGAGAAAGAGGGAACACACATGCACAAGCAGGGGGTGAAAGCAGAGGGAGAAGGAGAGAGGATCCCAAGCAGACTCCCCGCTGAGCACGGAGAATGATGCGGGGCTTGATCTTATGACCCTGAGCTCATGACCTGAGCCAAAATTAAGAGTTGGACAGCTAACCGACTGAGCCACCCAGGTGCCCCCACACTTATATTTAAAGAGAAATTAAAAACACTTCCAACACTAAAGTCCGTTCCATCCCAGGGTTTCCTGTTCAGGACGGCAGCCCAGAACCTGAAAAGACAAGCAAATGTTGTCTGCTCAGCTTGCCCCTGAGAGCAGTATGGACGAGAGACCAAGGCCCCCAAGGAGAAGGGTGGATCGAGCGGAACAGGGCCCTCTTCATTCTGCAGGAGGACAGGAGGGACCAGACGCTTGGGGGGGCATCCCCCAGGGAGCAGAGGACCTGTTGGCTAAAAGGAAGGTTTTAATCACACAGGAATGAAGCCTGTTGAGTGACAAGATTAAGCACTTAATCTAAGGATGCAGCAAATTGCTTTATTTATAATGAGTATTGTATCGATGTTGAATAATAAATCTCACCTGTATTTAGAAGTATTTTTAAATCGACATTTTTGAGAGTTTTGTTGTGTTTTCCCTGAAATTAATAGGGAAAAGTAAGTGGATTCTTACATAGGCCGGCTCTCGCATATTTAGGCTGATGGAAATGAACATTGGCACAAATATTATGAAGAAACCATAATTGCTTGAAACACGTTTAGACCCCGGGAGTCACAGACATGATTTCAGAATCAGGACACATTGGGGCAATGACACTCTGGGTCCCGGGTCACGGGGACTGACCCTCTTTGCATATCTGAATGTTCTGTGTTTTGTCATTTACAGGAAGCTCTTATTTCTTTACCATGAAAATTCCATTACGTTTGACACACATCATCTTGATTGTGTTTGTTTTGCTTGTGGACATTTTGCTCATTGAAAATGTGTTATTGTAAGGATATATTTTATATTCGTGGAAGAGCAACTGCATCGGGTCTCAGAAAAATCTTTTTATTTGGACAGAGATTAGTGGATTTCCCAGGGCGACATGTGCTTTCTGCACGCTCGTGGGCTTGTTACTCAGGAGATGGGAGCAGGTGGGGTGAGGCTGGAGGTCCTGTCTTCACGCCTCCCCCTGGCCCCCGGGGCCCCTTCAAGGAGTAGACAGTGGACACTGTGTTGCTACAGTAGCGTGGACCGCACCGGGCGCGGGCTGAGGGTGCCGACCGTCGCTTCGCCACGATGCGTCGCCAGCCCCAGCGGAGACGGCAAGGTTGTCTGACCGTCATCGACCTCCAGTCACTGACGACAGAGGGATTCGCTTTAAATGTCAAGCTTTCGCTCTCATCTCTGAGCCTCGGCGGGATTTTACACCAGGAAGGATTTTACACTTGGCGGGAAGGTGTCGCCATTTCTTCCTGGAAGACACGGGAACCGTACGGGGCATCCTGATTTTAAATGTTGACGCATGAAAAAATGCACCCGCGATGAGTAAGAATGGCAGCTAAATTGTATTAATTCCTTCTCCAGTAATCCTTATTTTGTACTAAGTGAAGGATACTACATTGAGGTCAGCCTCAAAGCGAGGTGTGAAACCAGGACATGTGACACGAATCTCCAGCTGACGAAACAATCTATCCAGAAGTGTTCTCTGTCCCAGGTTTTACTCTCCTCCAGAATTAAATGAGGAGATACAGAAAAACGCATTGTAAGCCAACTTTGGCTTCCTCTGTTGAAACAGAAGTTACCCATTTTAAACATAACAACGGAATGGTTTTCTCTCCAGCACCTGCTGGGTGTCAGGCCCTGGGAGGCCTGGGGACAGAAAGGGTTATAAGGCAAGGTCCCTGTCCTCAGGCACTTTGCAGTGTGGTGGGGAGAGAGGAGTGAGTCCGTGGGGAGTCTGCACTGGGGAGGAGCTCAGACCTGCCCTGGGGAGGAGGAGGACCAGGGCTGGGAAGCCTCTCTCCCGTGGGGAGGAGCTCAGACCCTCCTGGACCGCGAGGGCAGGAGGCTGGAAGGGGTGTTCCAGGCACAGGGAGAGCTTGGTTTCGGTTGTCGTCTGTCCCACAGAGGAAGCTGTGAATGTTTACTCCAGTTCCTGGAGACTTCCTGTTTTCCTGACTCCCCAACAACCCATTGTTTTATCCTCCATGTTGTCAACATGCTAGAAAACAGCATCTTTGCCCTGTTTTGCTGTGTAGCTCTTCGATCGCTAGTGACTGGAGCAAACACACTCCTCACTGTCGACAGGTACTTGATGAGCCTGTCGGATCTCAGTGCGGAAACACCATGTCAGTTCATTGACCCGCTGGTGACAGTAGCTTCCACTGGTAAAGGTGGAGACGAACCTCTCCTCTCCTCCATGTTACGGGTGTTAATTATCAACGCCTCTTATGTATAACATTGGCTCTCAGGTACTTGAGGAACAAGACTACAAGTGTTGCTTAGGGGGATTGCACCCATTCCCCTGCTCCTGCCTGCCCAGTGGTGAACTGGAGACCCGCACTTGTTTGGGGTGGAGGCTTCCGGAGGGGCCTGGGGGACGGGGATGGGGAGCAGGGCACCTGCTGCTGTGGGTCCGGAGGGCTGGCCTCTGCCTCCCCAAGGCCACCGAGGGCCCCGCCGCCTGGGCCTCGCCTTCTCTCCCACCTGCGGGCTGCCCGCACGTGCTTGTCCCTACCTGGGAACCCGTCTCGGTCTGAGTCAGACCTTCCATTGATGGGATAATACTTTATGGCTTCCTCACGAGAAGACTCCTATTAGTCAAGATGGTTTTTGTTGCAAGTGGCAAACCCCACCCAAAGCCCCAAGATCTGGCAGGGAGGGGGCGAGTCAGAGACCAGACGTCCTGGCTCAGGGGGATGCCCACTGGTTTCACAAAGGGCCTCTCTCGCCCTGCACCCCCACCCTGCAGGCGTGCTGGCCCCCCTGGCCCAGGGGGAGCATAGTGCTGGTCCCCAGGAGCTTCTGCACGGATGGTACTGGACCTTGGGGCCATGTGCCCACTCTCGAGCCTCCCAGAGAAGTGCCAGAGCAAGGGAGGGGAGTCCCTCGAGGAGGGGAGCAGGGAAGCGGGGCAGGTCGAACACGCCCGCTGTAAGACAAGGCTCGGGGACAAAGCCGGGGCAGAATCTCGGCAGCTGGGTGCCAACGCCAAGGCAGCAGAAGGGAGGATGGTCACCTTTGTTCCCAGAGTTTCCATTTTTATTTAACAGACACTCCTAGAACAGTTCCTATGTGCCAAGTATGCTCAGAGCACTTACAGATACTAAGTTTCCTAACCCTTGTTACAACCACGACATGCAACCATGCAGTATCAGTACTTCCTCTCTTTTATAGAGAAAGAAACAAGCACAGCGAGGTTAAGTGACTTGTCCAAGGTCACACAGCTAATAAATAAGAGCCAAGCCAGAGCATACTCCCAACCGGTCTGCCCCAGAACGCACAGCTTTAGCAACGGCCTGCCCTGCTCTTCAGAAGAAGAGTGCACAACGGGAAGAGTACCTACCGCTTGGTCCTAGCTGGAGACTTGGGACGAGGGAGGCCTGGAAGAAGTGCTGCAGAAGGATGCAGGCCAGAGAGAGGCTGCGGGGAGCGGCAGGCCTCCCGGGGCAGCGTCTGGGAACGTCCCCTTGTGCGTGTGGCCCGGGAGCTCTCGCGGTGCTGGTCATAACGGAGGAAAACACCAACCCGGTTGATGGCCAGGGACAGGAGCCTGGTGGCGCTCGTGGGAGTAACTGAGGTGCGGGGCGCGCGCTCTGGCCATGACTGCGCATCGGGTGGCGCTGTGTGGGCTGCGTGAAGCCACCGCCAGGGCTCCTGGTTACCAGACCAAAGCAAGACGCAGAGCAGTGTGCGGAGCGAGGCCTCACGGGGCTGCTGGGCCGGTGCGGACACGCCGAGGGGCGCGGGGATGCCGAGGGAGGGCTGCAGGCAGGCCTTTACGCTTTCGGGTGGGCCTTTTGCAGTTGCATTCCCCGTCACACTAATGAGGTAAAATTGATTCAACAAACAGGAAGAAACTAAACCATATCTACTCTGTGCCCTTAAAATTTAAACTTAAAAGGAATGTGCACCCTGGTGCTGCTGGTAGGGCTCCATCAGAGAGCAGGGGGGAGGCCAGGGGGCAGCCCAGCCCAGCACGTGGCACCCAACCCCTCCTCTGTGGACTTGGGGCACCGCGTGGACATCGGCATCGATTTCTGCCCCCGAAAGGGCCCATTCTCGTACCAGGGCTGCCCTGCCTGGCTTCCAGGCGGCCAAGGTTGGAATTCAAGGAAGGCAGGTTCGGTGTCAGCTCCTTCCCGTGCATCCATCCACCTGCAACCCAAACAGGGACAGGGCGGGCGGGCATGCTCCTGGAACACATGCATGACGATTAGCTGACGTGTTTTATCCCAGGTGCTACTCAGTTTCTTTTGAATGAAAATATATCCACTCGCACAAGAAAATGCTTTCGAGCCCAGGCAGAAAAAAAGAGGCGGGAATTCAGAATCCTCTGCAGAAAACCCACCCTGAACCCAGAGACTCTCACAGCTGGACGATGAGCAGGGGAATGTGATTATCTGCCACAAAATTTATAAGAAGAAAAATGTATTACAACCATCTCGTTGATAAAGCAAGCACTGCATCTTAAGAGGGGGTCTTGTTTTGTTTTGTTTCCAGGACGGAGAAGCCAGCGCAGGAGAGTCTGACAAGAAGAGGGACGTCTGCCAGCTCTCCCGGGAGGCCTCGGAGGACAACGAGGTGTTCGGTATGTGACCGGGAAACTGGAGGACGGGGCTCCACGTGCGCAGATACACGCATTTGGGGAAGGTTTTAAGTTTTTAATCACATGAGTAATCTATGAATCTGTTCTCAGTATTGAAAATGCAGAGGCGGCAGGAATGTGGGGTGAGTCCCCTTGGTCAGCCTCCCGCCGTCCGTCCTCCCCGACGTGACCACACAGGTGGCCGGCGGCAGCTGCCCCGTCTCGTTCTTGTTCTTGTGCTCTGTGCCGTCCTGCTTGCAGGCTCCAGAGACTTCCCAGGTGCAGCCCTGCCGTGCGATATTTCTCTACTTATCTATTTGACCTTTGTGGGTGGAAAACCTAATGACACCTATAAAACAGAACTAACAGGGAAGTGGGACTGTCCCAAAGCCCAGATATTTCAACCACAAAGAATGACTCAGGAGGTGTTGAAAAATAACCGTTTTCTATAAAACTTTACTTTTTTGTGGAGCCCGCTGACAAACACGACTTCCCTGCGTTTCTGCGCCCCCCCAAGAGAATGAATGAACGAGTTCTCATTTGATTTTAACATTAAAAAGATCACCTTTCCCATGTGACCACGATGCTCTGTGACTTGCCCACGATCGCGCGGCTGAGCAAGACGCGACGAAGATCTGTCCGCATGCCCTGCTCTGTTCTCTCCTCCAAGAATTCCCAGAGACGCGGGAACGATGGGGTAGCATGAAGCGTGCCCAGACCCTGAGGGCTCACTGGCGTGTCAGAGGGAAAGGGAGCAGTTTTCTGGCTACTGAAGTGAGTGTTCCTTGGACGGTGTCGTGTGCCCGCAGGTTATGATGCTCACGGCAGACAGGCCTCCTCACCGCGCTCCCTGGCCCGGCCGCGGCTTACTTACAGAACAGGTTTCTTAGTACTTTCGCTTCTCCGGCAGGAAAAGCCACCCCAGTGTCTTGTTCCTGATTTGCTTGCTCTTTTTCAAAAGTCCCTTCTGTTTCTGTGATTCCGTCCTGAGTAAACACCCATAATGACAGAAGTACTGCTGCCCACTGTCTCAGTATCTTAAACTGTCATGAAAATCAGCATAACCCAGAGGTGCAGAGACTGAAAACAATGCAGATCAGTTTAATGGAAACCAGTGGGGTCAGTGCGAGTAGGAATCGGCACTCGCCGGGTTACACCTGCTGCAGGCTGATTTTCCTGGGAACTGGGTGGGGAGGGGTTTGCCGGAGCATCGTCCGCTGCCTCCCCGTAGCGGGGCCTCCATTCCTCAGGGGCAGAGGTACCAGACGGGAGAAGAGACCAGCACCTAGGGTAGGCGCTGCCGCAGGCGTTCTGAATGCAGAGGGAAGGCACTCTATAGATTTGAATTGAGTGACGCATCTGAGCATCGATGATTTCGAGAATAAATCCGTCTGTGAACCTCTAAAATAAAGGTTTCTCTGGACTACCTCTCTGCTCCCATATTCCAACTCCATATGTATATTAAACACATAAAAGAAAACGGCAGAATAAAAATGTCCAATTTTAGGTTTCCTGTATGACAAGAGTACCTTTTAGAAGGATTTTGGCTAAGCTTACTTATTTTTTAAAGCAAATATCATCTTTCTCATTATTCCCCTGGTTACATGCTTTCAGGATAGTTCACAACAGTATCCGTCATCCCGTTCCTTTTGGACACACACACATCACACGTGTGCATACGCACTTGTGACGCAGATACGTGTAACTTGGGAAAAGTCTACGACACGTGTTTCCTAAGTCGGCAGAAGCGTCGTGTGGCTTCTGAAGCTCTTTCGAAGGCAGCCTCGTCAGCTCTCGCACGTAGATGCTCAGCCTGGATGGAGACTGAGCTTTGTACAGTTGGCCATGCACCAAATCCATCCTGGCACAAACTTAGATTTGTCTTCTGGTGGGAAGAATAGCGCCACAAGCAGGTGCTGCCGGGGTAGTTTACCGCGACTTCCCCGGGCTGGAGCACTGGGCACGCTCACACGGTGCTGGGCGCGCAGCCCTCACGTGGTCAGGAAGCAAGCCCTAATCATCGCCTTCACGACGTGGGCAGCTGGCCCCGGGTCCAGGCTGAGTCACAGCAGAGGGGAGGTGTGAGGAGCATGCCATCTGACGGCATCTGACCTTGAGTGAGGGCGGCCCGGGGGGCCTCACAGCTCCCGTGGTTCTGGCCTCAGCAGGCCTGACTAATACAGACCGGGAGTTCCTGCAGAGCTGCCGCGCATCTGCTTTTGAATTTACGATAATCTCCCACTCCTGATGCTTTCCTGGAATCCAGAGAAACCCCGGTCTAAAGGGGCAGAGTGACGAGGGAAAAAGAAGCTAAGCAGATCTTGGCTGTCAATCTTGACTGCATAATCTTGGAAAATATACCTGAGCATTCTTTTTAAATTATGGAATGTTGTACAAATGTCACTCCAAATGAAATCAGCAGCTGCCTCCCACTTTTCCTGACTAGACAGAAGTTCCCCGAGTACCATAAAAAAATCCCATGCTTTCTTGATGTTCTGTGAACCCTGAGTCATCGGCACCCATGTAGCAATTATCTTCAAGCTCCTGGTAATCATGTTGTCCGTGTGTCAGACGAATGGCCCTTGTCCTCTACCTGACACATTTCTGCAGGATCTAGTCCTCAAGGTCTCTGTGAATGTCAGGAAAGACTGTGGCCTTCAGCTGGTTGGAGTCCTGGCTTAGCCACAGAATTAGAGGGGCTCAGAGAGGTCACAGCCAGGGGCAGACTATGGCAGGTGCCCCGAGCTGCTGGCTCACACGTGTCTTGCTCAGAATCACAGAGTGCACAGCTACCACCAACCAGTGTCCCCCGTACCTCCGTGAAGGCTGGAACCGATCAGGTACTTAGCAGCGCACTGAGGACTTGTATTTACTTTTTCATTTCATGGGAAAATCCCAGTGAAGGATTGTTCTTGATCTAAGCGAATCACTCATTAGAAATGCACAGTTCTAAATCTCTTCCTGTCATGCTTTTTCTGACAGTGTGTGGTTGTACTTAGCACTGTTTGCCTGGTTACCTAAAGAGGAAGAAAACACGGTAGCCTAGAGAACCACATGTTGTCTGAGCTTTGGGGAACCAGGTCATTTTGTGGTCTGCTAGTTATTGAGCTTTTTTTTTTTTTTTTGCGCCGTGCATCCACACATCTGTTGTACACGATCTTCGTCATTTGAAAAGCAGTCAGCAAAAAATGCAGAACAGTCACCCCCACCCCTCCCTCCAGAGTCCACTAGCCATAAAGCCAGGGCAGGTGAGGCAGCCGAGGTGAGCAGAAGCCTGGGGTCTGCCTAAATTATAGTGACAAAGGAGTGAAATCCCCCAAAAGAGGGCACCCCTGCTCTTTCCAGACAAGTGTGGCTCCTTCCAGACCAGACCCACATCTCCGAAGTCAGAACAAAAGGAATGAGTACCCAACACATCAGGTGAGCTCGAGCACAGCTTTGCAGGATCCCAGGGTCGTGAGAACATCGTCTCCCTGCCTCGGTGCGTAACGGCGCCCATGGCTAAGTGAGGGACGCACTGCACGTAGGGACAGACTCCTATGGAGCATCACGGGGAAAACCTTCACCAGCTCAGTGCTCAAATAATGGAGATAGAATTATCTATGTTTAGTATTCAGCAAGAAAGTACTCATATTGGAAACACTGAAGTTTATACAAGGATGATCTATTAAGTATAAATACGTGTGTATATGTGTGTCTTTATTTCACAAAGTTTGAGTTAGCTCACAGTAAGAAAACACACAAACAATAAAATATAGAAAACATATAGTCAAGGTCGAGTCAAGTAAGACCACGCATGTGAACCATATGGCACCTGCTAGTAGTTGAACACCGCATTGAACCTGCCCCAGGAAGACGAGACCCAGTCCGTTTATTTCTCATTTTACGTGGGAGGTAATGCAGCTACACCACGTTAGCTGTCATTTCTGCCCGTGCACGCATCTTCTTGTGTCTTGGTTCCCTCCCAGGTAAGCAAGAGAGATAAGAGAACCCCCCAGAGTGAACGAGCAAGCTCACAAACGTGCACCTTTAGGGCGCCCCTGTCCCCCGTGGGGACCGACAGAAGGGGGCCTGCGTGCATTCCTCAAAGGAAGCCCAGCTGTGTTTAGCCAGTTGTAAGAACTTTTCTCCTGTTTCAGTTTGTATCATAGATGATCGCGTGGTAGTCAACAACTGCAGCGTACTTTCGTGGTAGCTGTGCTGATGAGTTTCATAGGCGAAGTGTAATAACTGGATAATGAGTTTCCTCACACCTCGGCGCTCTGTTTGAGGCACGTGTCCCGCTTTTGGCCTCGCCTTGGCGGTGTCCTGCGTGGCTCGTGCACTCCCCTCCTCTAGGGACTGTGGGGGACACCCCTCTGGATGGGGAGGACCTGTCAGAACGTGTGCAGCTGGGGGTCATGCTCTACCACATCTGGGAAATACTCTCTCCCACAGACAGATATATCCCCTGAGAAGTTTCACACAGCATTGAAAAAAAATCATTCCTTTTTTTGTTTCCAATACCCTTCCATGAGAAGATCTTTTTAGTAGTATTTGTATTTGATCAACCCTGATTACTGGACTAAGCTACAAAACTAGTAAGAAACCGTCATGATGATACAAAATTCTGTCTCAACTCAGTAATAACTGAAGGCCAGGAATCCACCCTGTGCTTTCCTGTGGACCCCTCGTTAACTGTCCCTCCAAGCGCCCTCCAAGAATGGTTATCGGCAGCCTGCTCTTGAGAATCGTGGATGCTGGCTTTAATTTATTGCTAATGATGGTTTGATTGCTGCCTGAGCCTGTTATCCGTATCTAGGCGAGCGACAGAACCAATCTTGAGCGTGTCTTTGGGGCAGATATAAATCATAGAGTCACAGCCACCCGCTGAGAACTTGAAGGAACGCTCGATGTCATCTGGTCTGACTCCCATCGTAGAGATGAGCGTCTGCAGGCCAGGAGAGGCCCATAGGCCACAGGGACAAGCTCCTGCTCTTGGCCCTGCTCTGAGCGCCCCAGGA